GTAGGCAAGACCCCAGATGTCAAAGCATCCAGACCCCTCTGTTAATACAGAATCAGACTTGGAATCATCCACACAGACCCTCTGAATATGAGAGACATCATCCATATCCTTAGGTTTACCCAGAGAGCTGGAATTTTTTTGTGTGAACCCACTCTGACATTCCGCACTGGTAGGTAAGCAAATGCAATATCGCCATCTAGTGCCTCAAAGGAGGACCTTTGACAAGGCTCTCAGGAAAAACCAGAAGAGCAGATAAATGTCAGTCGTTCAGCCGTGCCCAGCTCTTTGCCACCCCATGGACTGTAGCTCGCCAGGCTTCTCTGTCCATGGGATTTTCCAGGCAAGAATACTGGAATTGTTAGCCATTCCCTTCTCCAGGGGATCTTCCCGACCCCGGGATCAAACCCGGGTCTCCTGCATTGCAGGCAGATTCTTCACCATCTGAGCCACCAGGGAAACCCAAAAGAACAGAACTGGGATCTCCACTTTGAACAGACACTGTCAGCCTTTCCCATTTACCTAAAAGTTCTTCTTCCCAAGTTTGTGCTGGGCCTGGGCATGGGATTGAGAAGTCTGAGGTCTGTTTTCCTCTGTGCACTTTTGACTCACCAGCTCCCTAGCACAGATGGAAAGTTCAGGATGAATTAAATATCCAGGATTACAGAAGAATAATATGACAGCCCTGGAACTCACTGGGTTTCCCAGGCTGTTTCTTGGTGATAAAGGTTAACAGGAAACTGCTTTCCAGTTTCTGTCAAAAAGGAAATGATTTTTTTTTCCCCTCCATCTCAGAATATAGTTATTTCCTCCACCTTCCTGTCTCTTGTGAAGCCAGAGAACAAATACTACCTCAAAAGGCATAGAATTTGCTATCTAATTTCATTCCCCATTATTAGAGAGCTGGAAAGGGAATTGTAATGTTTTTGCTTAATATGCTATTGAAGAAAAAATTGGGAGGGGGTGGGACAGAATGTCTTCACTCCTTAATTGTCCAGCATTAAAATGAATGGGATCGAGACATAAGGCATTGTTTTGAAAATCAAGTTATTTCAGACCCAACACCTTTAGGTTCAAAATTATTACAGAACTAAGGTCACTCACTGGCAAATTCCAGAAGCCTCTGCTATTCTCCTGGCTCTAGGATTCAAAGTCATCAGCATATCTCTGTGAACAGCTTTATATGTTCACACTGAGAGAAGGGGCAGAGGGGCCGGGGCTGGGTGTGGAGTGTGCAGTGTGAGGACCCCTAATCATTATAAAAGGTCTGGGGAAGCATTTATTGTTTTTCTCCCTCCTGCATGTCTTTGTAACTCATTTCACTGTTGAGTAAGAACTCCCAACAGTGGTGTATAGAGAGGAGAACAGTTGAAAATCAGAGTTTTTCACTCATAGAAACTTACATGTTATATATGCAGTGGAATACTATTCGGCCATAAAAAAGAACAAAATAATGCCGTTTGCAGCAATATGGATGAAACTAGAGATTATCATACTATGTGAAGTAATTCAGAAAAAGGAAGACAAGTCCCATATGATATCACTTTTATGTGAAATCTAAGCTATGACACAAAAGGAGCTTATCTATGAAACAGAAACAAACTCACAAGATACAGAGGGCAGACTTGTGTTTGCCAAGGGGCAGGGAGGGAGGGAGAGGGATGGACTGGACTTGGGGTTTGGTACCCCGCCAGACTCCTCTGTCTGTGGAATTCTCCAGGCAAGAATGCTGGAGTAGGGTTTCCCTGGTGGCTCAGTGTAGGAGGCACAGGTTCGATCCCTGATCTGGGAAGATCCCTCATGCTGCAGAGTAACTCAGCCAGTGTGTCAGAACTGCTGAGCCTGTGCAGAGCGCAGGAGCTACAACTGCTGGGCCCATGCGGTGCAGCAACTCCTGAAGCTCTCGCACCCCAGAGCCCCTGCTCCACAACAAGAGAAGCCAGTGCAACGAGGAGCTTGCGTGCTGCAACTAGAGAGTTGCTCCTGCTCTTGCAACTAGAGTAAAGCTCATGCAGCAGCGAAGACCCAGCACAGCCAGAAATTTTTTAAATTATGTATAAAAAAAGGAATGCTGAAGTGGGTAACCGTCCCCTTCTCCTGGGGATCTTCCCAACCCAGGAATCAAACCTGGGTCTCCTGCATTATAGGTAGATTCTTTACCATCTGAGCTACCAGGGAATCCCAGATACAAATTGTTACATTTAGAATGGATAAACAGCAAGGTCCTACTGTATAGCACAGGGAACTATATTCAATGTCCTGTGATAAGCTATAATGGAAAAGAATTTTAAAAAAAGAGTGTATAAAGAAATAAATTTTTAAAAAATTGTACATGTTGGTGCCAGGTCCTGGACTAGTGCTGGAAATGCAAAAATGAATGAGATTGGGTCCCAGCCCTTAAGGAGTCAGCAGCCTAGTGAGAAGGCCTCTCAGGGAACAGGGAATCATGGGACCAGGGGCCACAATAAGCAGAGGGTGTCACCGGAGTCCAGGAGAGGAGATCCTCTGTGGGGACTGTCCTCAGAGTCAGTGAAAACATGTCATGACTGAGCAAGGTAGAAGGGAGCAGGAGTGAGCTGGGATCTGCAGCAGGATTGTTCTGGGGGTGAGAGGAATAGCTTGGACACAGGTATAGAGGCAGAATTGATTTGTAATAGGCCACCCTTGCAGGTCTCTGGGCTTCCCTAGGAGCTCAGCTGGTAAAGAATACACCTGCAATGCAGGAGACCCCAGTTTGACTCCTGGGTTGGGGAGATCCCTTGGAAGAGGACATGGCAACCCCCTCTAGTGTTCTTGCCTAGAGAACCCCATGGACAGAGGAGCCTGGCGGGCTACAGTCCATGTGGTCCATCGCAAAGAGTCGGAACCACTGAGCGACTAAGCACAGTACCGCAAGTCTCCCAGCTAATCTGGCTTTGCTCTCCCCTAGCCCCCTGCCTCAGAGCCCTGAGCCTTTGTCACCCTCCCCTCCCCCACCTGCCTTCCTTTCCCTTCCCTTCCATCTGTCTGCCTTCTTTCCTTCTGATTTTGCTATTCTGACTACCCATTGCCAAGAACCTTTTACAAGGGATGGAGACTTTTAAATGACATCACATTTAACTTGCAGTCAGCTCTCCAGATGCATGGATCAGATGTAAAACCCTGGGATATGTACTGACTGTACTGCACCATTTTATATCAGAGACTTGAGCATCCAAGGGATATCCTTGGGGATGGGATCCTGGAACCAATCCCCTGCCAATACAGAGAGACAACTGTGTTTTGTTTTGAGAAATAGAATTCGCTACCACATTTAAAGTCTTTGTTATTAGGAGAGTGAAAGGGGCGCAGCTTTCCAGTTTCTCTGAGATTGCTACAGACCCTTTATGGAGACCTTCATGACCTAAAACGCTTGGTCCAAAAGCAGGAGGCAAGTGCTTTGTTTTTTCAGTAGGGGAAAGGTGTAATCAGCCAGCCTGTTCATTCCCAGGCTTGCACAAATGAAGATAGTATTGTAATTTCCAAAAATTTTATAGACCTTTCATGATGGTAATTGTAGGACTAATATTGTGGATTGAAAATATCTACTAATATCTGAAGTTACTCTGGAGTTACTCACAAATTTAACTGAATCTGTGTTGTATTCATCACAACAGCCTCTGTGCATATCTGCAAAATGGTCAAAGATGTTGTTTACTTAGCTATAGACCAGAGGTTGCAAGGTGGGATGCCATGGACTTGCCCTAGCCTACACAAACGTGTTGTCTGCGTTATGCAACGTTGGTGTGTTGGTTTTGCTGTTTTTCTTGTTGTTTAGTCTCGAAGTCATTTCTGACTCTTGCAACCCCATGGACTGTAGCCCATCACCTCCTCTGTCCATAGAATTCTCCAGGCAAGAATACTGGAGTGGGTTGCCATTCCCTGCTCCAGTAGATTTTCCCAGCCCAGGGATCTGCATGCAAGCAGATTCTTTACCACTGAGCCACCAGGAAGCTCTTAATCTGAATTATCCAGTACTTGAAAGCAGCAGACATTTTAGGTGGGGAACTGCTGACAGTGTCCTGCTATCCTTTATAGTCTGGCAAGCAGAAGCCCAGCATGACTTGTCCTGAATCACACAACCCTGGGCGCAGATTACTGGGCTCTTGGCTTCCTCCCCATGACTCCTTCCATCACATCTTAACGCTGTTCTGAAAGACCACAGCACTTGTTTTTTTCTCATTTCATTTTCCACAAGCGCCCCCCACCGGGAGTTGTCACCCCTTACTCAGAACCTCCTCCCCTCCAAGGCTCTGCATGCCAATCATTTCCTTCTCCCCTGTCATCCCGGCTCCCTCAGTATAGCTGATCCTGAGACAAGTACAAGTGCCTTATCTAATTAGGGAATTGAATAAACTCCAGAATCAACTTGTAAAGACTTATTGAATGCAAACTTAAATAATTTCAGCATGTGTCATCTTGAAAAAAACCCCATAAGCTTCATCTGCATAAGAATCCAATTTTCATTTGGCTTCATGTTCATGAATATCACAGTGTTAAGAACACCGGCCCCAGCCTTCTGGATGTTGAGATGTCAAACCCCACCTTGCTGTCTTCAGAAGATCTGTCGTAATCATTTCAAAGAAGAATAAGGCCCTTTATTCGACTAAGCAAAAGAAATTATCTTTTAAAACTCCAACTTAACAGTGATTAGGACAGAAAGTAATGTGATGGAAGCAAGTGACATTGTAAAAAAAAAAATTGGGAACAGGTAAGGAAAATAGAAGTAAATGGTCAAGTTCAAGTTTACTCCTGGAGGCTGATGGCAAACCTGGCTCCTAGCTATGGAAAGGGCTGTCAGTCTTGATGGTCCTAATCCACTATAAATAAAACTTGAAAAGCACTAAGGAATTGATGACTTTTTCTTTTGTTCCCGTTGGGTTGGAAGTCCTCATCCTGCAGTCAGATCGTGTAACTCAGACAACTTGATTTTCTGCCTCATCGGTCGGTGTGTCTATGGTTCATTGGCAGCTGTTCTCTTGCAGGTTCTATATTGAGAGCATCTCATACCTGAAGGACAATGCCACCATCGAGCTTTTCTTCCTGAATGCCAAGTCCTGTATCTACAAGGTAAGAACTACTTCTTCCTGTTTGGAGTTTTCCGTTGAAATCTGAAAGTCTCCTTTGTAGCTGGGAATCCCAGCTTGCTGCCCTTAATGCAATGCTGTTGATTAGTAGAAAGTGTGTTAGTCACTCAGTCATGTCCGACTCTGCGACCCCATGGACTATAGCCCCCACAGGCTCCTCTGTCCAGTGGATTCTCCAGGCGAGAATATTGGAGTGGGCTGCTGTTTCCTTCTCTAGGGGATCTTCCTGTCCCAGGGATTGAACTCCGGTCTCCTGCATTGCATCCACTACTTCTATTGATTAGTAGAAGTAATTTCTAAATTAATGGCTATAAATAAATGAGAACTCCAAGGAGCTAAAGCTGTCAAGTGTTTATAACATGACTCCTTCCAATCCTGTAACCATGTTATGGCTCCTTGGAGGTGTTTCTTAACTTGATTAGGAGTCTCCTTAACTTGGCAACTATGACCTAAAAAGGGAAACCCAGACTAGTGTGACAAATGCACTAGGTCTCATAAGGATAAATGAGCCTCTTATAACCAAATGCATGTATATTTGATCATTTTTGGATATTCTGGAAGTATCTTTCAAAAGGATGCTATTGGTACTTTGGGTGGGACAACTTTTTAAATTTATTTATTGAAGTCTAGCTGATTTAGTGGAGGACAGGGAAGCCTGGCATACTGCAGTTCGTGGGGTCGCAAAGAGTTGGACACAACTTAGTGACGGAAAAAGAACAAGAAGTTGATTTTCAGTGTCTTTGCTGTACAACAAAGTGATTCATTTATACATATATTCATTCATTTTTGTATTCTTTCCCATTGTGGTTTGTCCCGGAATATTGAATATCATTCCCTGCACTGTGCAGTAAGGGCTCTTGTTTTTCCATTCTGTATATAGTAGCTTGCATCTGCTAATCCCAAGCTCCCAATCCATCCCTCCCCACCCAAACCCTCTTATCAACCACTGTTCTCTGTGGCAGTGGGACATTTTTTTAACTGTGATAAAATTTGCCATGGTACCCACTGATAAGTGTATATTAGCACCTAACAGGTATCACATGTTTACCTTGTGCAACCACTCTTGCCATCTAGCCACAGAATTCCTCATCTTACTAAACTGAAACTCTGTATCCCTTAAACAATAACTCCCTATTCTCTGGCAACTTCCATCCTTTCTATTTCTCTGTATTTGATTACAGAGAAATCACATAAGGGGACTCCTGCAATATTTGACCTTCTGTGTCGGGTTTACTTCACTTAGCATAATGTCCTCAAGGTTCATCCATATTGTATCATGTGTCAGAATTTCCTTCCTTTTTACAGCTAATATTCCATTGTATGCATTTTCCACCTTTTGTTTATTCATCCATCCATCAGTGGATACTTGCATTGCTTTCACTTTTTGGTTGTTAGGAGTAATGCTGCTGTGAACATTGTTGTTCAGTCACTCAGTCGTCTCCGACTCTGCAACCCCACAGACTGCAGCATCCCAGGCTTCCCTGTCCTTCATTATCTCCTGGAGTTTGCCCTAACTCACATCCATTGAGCCAATGATACCATCCAACCATCTTATCCTCTGTCACCCCCTTCTCCTCTTGCCCTCAGTCTTTCCCAGCATCAGGGTCTTTTTCAGTAAGTCGACTCTTCATATCAGGTAGCCAAAGTGTCACCCCCTTCTCCTCTTGCCCTCAGTCTTTCCCAGCATCAGGGTCTTTTTCAGTAAGTCGAAGCTTCATATCAGGTAGCCAAAGTGTCACCCCCTTCTCCTCTTGCCCTCAGTCTTTCCCGGCATCAGGGTCTTTTTCAGTAAGTCGACGCTTCATATCAGGTAGCCAAAGTGTCACCCCCTTCTCCTCTTGCCCTCAGTCTTTCCCAGCATCAGGGTCTTTTTCAGTAAGTCGACGGTTCATATCAGGTAGCCAAAGTATTGGAGCTTCAGCTTCAGCAGCAGTCCTTCCAGTGAATATTCAGAGTTGATTCCCTTTAGGATTGGCTGGTGTGATCTCCTAGATGTCCAAGGGACTCTCAAGAGCCTTCTCCAACACCACAACTCAAAAGCATCAATTCTTCAGCCTCCTTTAAGGTTCACCTCTCACATCCGTATGTGACTACTGGAAAAACAGATTTATAAGTTTATATTCATATCCCTGCTTTCAGTTGTTTGGGGTGAATACCCAGAAGTGGAATTGCTCAATCATGTGGTAATTCTGTTTTTCAGTTTTTTAGGACCTGCCTTACTGCTTTCCATAAAGACTGCATCATTTTATATTCCTACCAACAGCACATAAAGATTCCAAATTTGCACATCCTCACCAACACTTATTATTTTCTGGGTTTTCAAAAAAAAAACAAACAAAGAACCATCCTAGTGGTTTTAGGCGGTTTCTCCTGTGGCTTTGATTTGCATTTCCCTGATGATAGCGATGTTGAGCATCATCTCGTGTGCTCCCTGGCCATTTGTACATCTTCTTTAGGGCCACATCTCTTCATGGGACAGTTCTTAATTGAGTGGGACAGTGTCTTGCATCCAATTCCCCATATTCTTGTAGTGTTTCCTTTCACTGGATAACCCAAAATGCCCACAGAAAATTTTGAGGACACACTCCATCCTAGGGTTGAGAACCGTAACTAGGACAATGTATTTAAAGTAAAGACCCACTCTGCAACCGCCGGCAAACCTCCTTCTGTCTCATGAGTGCAGCCTTAGGCCACCTAATTAACGGCCAGGGAGAGGGATTGCTGATACCTACTCCCGTGGCACCGTGGTGGGCTTGGCGCTGAGTGCTCTCTGTAAGTTATGTGGCTGAAACTTTGCACCATCTCTGAAGTGAACACTGTTCTTTATCCTAGCTTTCTCTGTGAGGCAGCTGAGACACAGGTTAGTTATGAGATTCACCAGGGTTGCATATCGACTGAATGGCTGATGCTGGCAGCCTGACTCAGGATCGCAGAGCTCAGCCTTTGGGCTGCACTGTGCCCTTGCCATCAAACCCTCCACAGAGAACTTCAAAGCCAGGTACACCTGTTGTGACATGGTCAATGGCTGTGTTCAAAGGAGTTCCCATCCTGCTGCCTATACTTTTCTTGCTTAACTAAACCCAGCTTTGAGGGACTGCAGCAACCCACCACACATCAAAGCACACATGAGACTTGACATGGTCTATCAGCCATCACTTTTCCTTCTAGAATGATTTCAGCACCTCACTGCACAAAATAGTTCCACCAAATGCAAGTGTTCAAAATCCTGGAGGCTATGGTAGTGATCAAATTCAACCTGTGAAAGAACCTCACTTGCTGACAGTTGCTGAATCAGGACTTAACCTGAGCTCAAGCTCAGGGTACTCTGAGTAGAGTATTTGGGTATTTTGCTAAATGGCAGCACAAACATGCTAAATGTCGTTCTAGGGATTTGTGGTTTTCTTTCTCTCTCTAAACCTCATTTTCTCACTATAAAGTGAAAATAATACCAGCCTTATTTATCTCATAGGTAGCAAGTGACTGATGGCCTTTGCTTAGTCCATGTGAAAGCAGTTCGAAAGAAATAAACAGTGAGGACTTGTCCACAAGGGGGCAGACTTGGGCAGTAGATGCTTAGAAAGTTGCTACTGGTATGAGATCGCCATCAACCCTGGCAAGTGAAAAGTTGCCCCCAGATTGTTTTTATCCAGGCCCCTGGGTTAAGGGAGCAAACATGGTTTCTCTCAGAGTTGTTCAGTTCAGTCTAGTCACAGATGCTGAGCTGAAGGTGATGACTTCGGTGTTTCTGAATCATGATCACAGAGGTTTCTGGGATTAATGGGAAAGAAAAAGAAATTCCCAGAACTAAATATTATAGGTTCCCCAAGTGGAGGAGGTGATACATTAGGAACAAGTTACATATAGGGTCCAGGATGCCCATAGCATCAGCCTGCCTGCAGACCTGAGTGCCCTTCTAGAGCCCCCGCTCTCTCTTCTCAGCATCTGTCCTGGAGCGTAGTGAGTCCTGCCAGTGAGCCGGAGATGGCTTTTCTGATGGTGACAAAGGAGACAGAATCACGTCACAAGGCCACCTGTCTCTCATCATCAAAAAGAATATTTTTATTTGCATAATTGACAGCATATACAATTTTTCTTCTAATTTTATTGGAGTATAGTTACAGTGCTGTTATTTTCAGATATACAGCAAAATGATTCAGTTATATATATATTCATTCTTTTTTAGGTTCTTTTCTCATATAGGTTATCCCAGAATATTGAGTAGAGTTCCCTGTGCTACACAGTACATCCTTGTTGGTCATCTGTCTTACATATCGTAGTGATTGTTGTTGTTCAGTTGCTCAGTTATGTCAGATTCTTTGTGACCCCAGGGACTGCAGCATACCAGGCTTCCCTTCACTATCTCCCAGAGTTTGTTCAAACTCACGTCCATTGAGTTGGTGATGCCATACAACCATCTCATCCTGTCGCCCCCTTCCTCTCCTGCCCTCAATCTTTCCCAGCATCAGGGTCTTTTTCAATGAGTTGTCTCTTCACATAAGGTGGCCAAAGTATTGGAGCTTCAGCATCAGTCCTCCCAATGAGTATTCAGGCTTTATCTCTGTGCATAACGGTGTGCATGTGTTTATCCCAAGCTCCTGCTTTATCCCTCCACCCCCACATTTCCTCTTTGGTAACCGTAAGTGGGTTTTCTATATCTTTAAGTCCTTTCTGTTTTGTAAATAAATTCATTTGTTTCATTTAAACATTTCTTTCACATATATTACGTTATGTGAGACTCACAAGTGAGATGGAATCATCGAGTTTACTGACGGAGGAAAGTGGTGCTGGAGAGAGTTAATAACTTAATCAAAGACAAGGAACCTGAAGTGGTGGAACAGGTTTGGCACCACTGTAAATATGCAAAGATGGCAGAAGGCTCTGGAGCAGAGTGATTCTGATTAGGGATTTGGATTCCTGGGTTCCTTCCTACCTCTGCATCTGAGCAACTGCAATAAATGTGGACACCTTCTGTGATGTCTCTGA